ACTATATCCTGAAAATATTAACTCAATGATCTGTACTCTAAAAACCAAAGTCACAAACAGACTTAATATAAACAAAGTCATTCTGGAATCCTGGCATGGTGCCGTGGGGCTAACGTGCTGGACTACAAAGTTGGTTTGAACAAAGTCAATGGTTCAAGCTCACCAGTCACTCCTTGGAAACCCTATACAGGGTTGCTATGGGTAGGAACCCACTCAACAGCACTTAACAACAACAACAACAACAAAGTCATTTACTAGCACTTAAAAGGTAATGTCATTTAGATTATCATGACAAATATCAAAGCAAAAGAATATACATTCAGCACTATAGCTTATAATCATGCTCATGCTCACTGCAGAAATCTATAGAAGTATAAATGAATAATATGCTACAAATGTTTAATTAAAATGCAAAACTACTGAATTCATGTAACCTAAGTTACAAGTGTTGTACCCAGGAACTCACATATCCGTTATACAAAGTAATGTATTAGAAAAGGCCTGTCATGAGATAGTGTTTTATTCTGTTGTTGTTGTTAAGGACCCTGGAGTTGGTTCCAACTCATAGTGACCCTGCACAGGGTTTCTGAGGCTGCAAATCTTTACAGGAGCAGAGCTGCAAAAATCCTAGGAATAGCAGCTAACCTTTGTTGAATGTTTACCACGGGGCAGATACACTGAGCACTAAGCTTTCTCATTCAATCCCACTAACTCTCTGCAGCAGATTACACCATCCACTTACATATTACATTTGTAGAATCTGCTGCAAAGAGAAGTTAACACATATATGGCAAGGAATGAAGCAAGTTTTTGAAACCAGGCAATTGGACTCAATGGAATCTATACACTTTATATTAAGCTTTAACCAACTACTTCAACGATCAGTCGTACTAGTCTCAGCATAAAAAATAATCTAAAAACAATGTAATCTTTTAGCATTGGACCAGAGACTTTCTATGCATTTAGTTAAGTGAACAATAAACAAAGTAACCCAAACCCAATGAGACTTCAGCTCATAAAACTTCTTGCCCTGTGCCAGCAAAAGCTGTACGATTATGTGTCGAAACACATGATCTTTAAATGAACTAGATTTTTCTATTTGAAATAACATCCTTTGATTATATAATATGAATATATATACTCACAAATGTTTAAAAAACATACTCACAAATGTTTCCAGTAATGCATCTGTTATTATTTGAACTATGCCTTGTGCATGGGTGTTAGCTAGTGGAATGCTCACTACGTTTCCTTCTTTGTGTTGAGCAAGCAGCAGGGCTGGGACAGTTGTGGAATATTTATGTGACCTATAGAGAAAAGTATTAAAATTCAAAACCAAAATATAATAAGTCATCAAAAACAAGGAAAATTAGGCCAGGAGGTCACTGTGCAAGGCAAAAAATGGGCAGCCATGCTGCTAAGGAAAAAAATGAACTAAATTCCAAACAAACTAATCTTCAACATGAAACTATTCAAGGAAGTTGATGAGTCTAGAGTAAAACAAAGCCAACTGATAATAATCTAGTCAGAATTTTTTTTATTTATACACTATGGTAGCGTAGTGGTTACGAATTAGGCTGCGAACCGTAAGGCCAGCAGTTCGAATCTACCAGCTGCTCCACAGGAGAAAGATGAGGCTTTCTGCTCCCGTAAAGATTTACAGCCTCGGAAATCCTGTACAGGGTTGCTATGGGTCGGAACCAACTCGACAGCACTTAACAACAACAACAACATAGACAATTTACTCATTAAGAAAACATCTAAATGGGATTAAATACACACTGAATAGTTCTAAAACTTGTTGGACTGTTCGTCACATTGCAAAGAGATTGGCTTTTATTTAACACCTCCTATTTGCTAGGCACATGGAATCCTAGTATGGCACTGTGAGATAAGCACTAGACCACAAGGTTGGTTTGAATTGCCAGGTCAGCAAATCAAACCCACTCCTCGGAAACCCTATGCACAGTTGCTATGAGTCAAAACTGACTCAATGGAACTCAGTAACAATCTTCAGTACTTTAACTGTGCTTTCATTTAACACTCAAGACAGTCCTATGAAGTAGCACAATCACCTCCATTTCACAAATAAGAAAATGGGGACAGTAAGAAAAGAGAAATGGTGGAAATAAGCTTTCAACTAAGAAACTCTCCACATTGGAGACATGGTGTCTCCAAAGAACAAAGAACCCAAATCCCCCATTTTTGCTTCTAAACCTAAAAGAAAAACCACTAAATTAAGAAAATTTTTTTGTGTGAAGCGATCAAAGATTCTTATCATATGTGAAAACAATTCATATCCAAGTATACACACTGTAACATTATAAGCAACATTAGAGAACTTAATCGTCAAATCACCTGAAAGATACTTGTAGCTAAATAGTTGGTTATAAACAAAACACATTCAGGAAGCTACTGATCTAGTTCATGTGTGTCAAATGCACAATGGCAGCAGAGTATAAAAAGATAGTGGGGAGTCAGTCTTGTGTCAGATCTAGATGTCTCATATTTCCAAAAGATCTGGAGTTCAGCATATATCACCACTGTTCAGGATGAAAGATAATTTAATTCAAAAATCACATTATAGTCAGTATGGAAGAGACAAACTACTGAGCTTATGTTAAGAAAATGGGGACAGTGAGAAAGGGGCCAGTATACCAGACATTAATGCAGAATGCAAAGTACATTACTCATATATTTAAAGTTTACAGTTCATCCTTGATTTTGCAAAAACTATATTATACTAATAGGCCAAAAGAGCCACAAATTTTACAAAGTAAAGTGATGTAAATGGTTTCTAAAGTATTAAGCATATGTTTGCATAAATTAAAACTAGTTATTTAGAATAATTGTATCACCTTAAACACTAGAAGAAATATAAACGCATGAAAAACTCAGATTTTATATACACACACCTGTTGTTGTTAGGGGCCTTCAAGTCAGTTATGATTTACAACAACCTTCTGCACAACAGAATGAAACACAGTCCTGCACCATCCGCACAATCCTTGTTACATTTGAGCCCATTGCAGCTGCTACAGTGTCAATCCATCTTGTTGGGGGCTGTCATCTTTTTTACAGAACATCCACATTACCCAGCAGTCTGATAACATGTCCGAAGTATGAGAGATTAAATCTAGCCATCCTGACTTTAGTGAGCAAGCTGGTTGTGCTTCTTCCAACACAGATTTGTTTGCTCTTCTGGCAGTCCACGGTACTTTTAAGATTCTCCTCCAACAACACAATTCAAATGCTTCCATTCTTTTATGGTACGCCTTATTCACTGTCCAACTTTCACATGCATATGAAGCAACTGAGAATATCATGGCTTAGGACAGTCGCATCTTAGTTCTCAAACTGACATTATTTGCTCTTGGATACTTTAAGGAGGTCTTGTGCCACAGATGTGCCTAAAGTAGTATGTTATTTGATTTCTTGATGGCTGCTTTCTTGAGTGTTGATTGGGGATACAACTAAAATGAAGTCTTTCACAACTTCAATCTTTTCTCCATTTATTATGTTTCTTATTGGTTCAGTGGTGAGGACTTTTGTTTTCTTTACATTGAGGTGCATACTAAAAGCTGTAGTCTTTGATCTTCCTCAGTAAACATTTTAAGTCTTCTTCACTTTCAGCAAGCAAGGTTGTATCATCTGCATATCACAGGTTTGTTAAACAGTCTTCTTCCTATCTTAATGCCATGTTCTTCTTCATATAATGCAGCTCTCAAATTTGCTCAGCATACAGACTGAACAAGTATGGTGAATGAATACAACCCTGGCACACACCCTTCCTGATTTTAAACCATTCAATATCCCCTTCTTCTGTTCTAATTACTGCCTCTTGATCTATGTACAGGTTCTTCATGAGCACAAGTCAGTCATCTTAATTTCTAATGAGAAATACCCATTCTCCACGGTGTTATACATAGTTTGTCATGATCTATACTGTTGAAAGCCTTTGTATAGCCAATAAAGCACAAGTGAACATCTTTCTGTTATTCTCTGCTTTCAGCAAGATTCATCTGACATCGGCAATGATATCCCTAGTTCCATGATCTCTCCTGAATCCAGCTTGAACTTCTGGCAGTGTCTTGTTAATGTACTATTACAGCCATTTTTTAGTTATCTTCAGCAAAATTTTATTTGCATGTATTATTAATGATACTGCTTGATGATTTCTGCATTCTGTTGGGTTACCTCTATGGAATGGGTACAAATATGAATCTCTTTCAGTTGGTTCACCAGATAGCTACCTTCCAAATTTCTTGGCACAGATGAGTGAGTATCTCCAGTGCTGCATCAATTTGCTGAAAGATTTCAATCAGTATTTCATTTATTCCTGGAGCCTTGTGTTTCTCAAATGCTTTTAGTGCAGCTTGGACTTCTTCCTTTATACCATTGATTATTGATCACATGCTGTCTCTTGAAATGGTTGAATATCAACCATTTTTTTGTACAGTGACCATATTTCTTATATCTTCTGATACTTTCTGTATAATTCAATATTTTTGCCCATAGAATCCTTCAATATTGCAAGTCGAGGCTTGAATTTTTTCTTCAGTTCTTTCAAGATGAGACATGCTAAGCATTTACTTTTCTATCTAGCTCTAGGTTATACATTGTCTTGTATAACTATAATACTTGACTTTGTCTTCTCGACCTACCTTTTGCAATTTTCTGTTCAGGTCTTAATTCCTCAAGAGCAAGTCTCAACGTGTCTTCTGACAACCATTTTCTTTTTTCCTGTATTTTTAAGGGAACTTTAGCTTTCTTCCTGTATGATGATTTTGAAGTTATCCCATAACTCTTCTGGTTTTCAGTCATTAGTGCCTAATGTATCAACTCTGTTCTTGAGAAAGTCTCTAAATTTAGGTCATATTGGCTCGCATGAACCTCTTTTCATTTTCTTCAGCTTCAGCCTAAACTTGCGTATGTGTAATTTATGGTCTGTTGCACAGTATGTCCCTGGTCTTGTTTTTGCTAATGATATGGAGCTTTTCCACCATCTCTTCCCACAGATATAGTCAATTTCATTCCTATATATTCCATCTGGTGAGGTCCATGAGTATAGTCACCTTTTATGTTGCTTTAAAAAGGTATCTGAAATGAGTAAGCCATTAGTCCTAAAAAATTCTATCATATGATCTCCAGTATCATTTCTATCAGCAAAGCCCTATTTTCCAACTATTGATCCTTGTTATTTCCAATAAAGAAAACTGTGACAAATAAAAACCCACACTCTCAAGAAGTAAACTTTAAATAACTTTTATAACTCCAAAGAGTCAAAAATGCAAGCAATAAAACCTAAAAAGGAAACTTTCTATAGAAGAATGGAGAAGCAAGAGTCCAGAATCCAGAAAGCATCTGAACAGCTTTGTATGTTGGAGAACTTGCTACAAGAACATTTAAGATTTTAGTCAACTGAACGTTCCACTGCCGCCCTGTGTTCTTCATCAACTCTGAAAAGAAAAACCCTATTTCTTGCATTACTTCTTCCTCAGTAAAATTAGAAGAGTAATAAACTTACAATATCAAAACATCTTTTTCAGAATAAATTCCAGTGATGACATATCCTTTTAGGTACTTTCCTGCTTCAGTGAAATCTTCTATTACTACAAATAAATAGATAAGAAAAAATAAAATGGAATACTTGAAATTATGTGAGATATTCAATTTATAATGAGACTTACAGATTGTAGCATTTTATTATCAATTAAGTAAAAAGATAAAATATTCACTGAAAACACCTTATACAATTTAGTTGTTCTAAAATAAATCTGTGGCTTTTTATATTTCTTAACCATTACAGAAATGTAAGTTGATGTTAATACAGCTATGGTTCCCTAAACAAGTTATACTTGTTAAGTGTCGTTGAGCTGGTTCTGACTCATAGTAATACCGTACAGAGTTTTCAAGAAGCAGCTTGTGAGTTTGAACTGCCATTCTTGTGGTTCGTAGTCCAGTGCTGATCCTATAGTGCCACACCAAGCAAACAAATATACAAATAAGTGTTTAATACCAAAATCTAAGCAAATGATGGGAGTTCACGGATGGTGCAAATGGCTAATAACTGAACGTTTGGAAGTTTTGAGTTCACACAGAAGCACTTCAGCAGAAATGCTGATGACTTACTTTCAATCAGCCCCTAGAGTCCTATAGAGCACAGACCCTAGAATCCTATAGAGCACAGATCAACTCTGACACACATAGGTTCATCATGATACAGAACTGACTTGACAGCAACTGGTTCATCATGTTGTTGTTAAGTGCCCTTAAGTCAGTTCCGACAAATTGGAGGGTTTCCAAGGAGTGTTTGGTTGGTTTGAACCCCTTGACCCTGTTGTTAACAGTCCAGTGCTTATCCTACAGTGCCAATTATAGTTGTTGCATTTTTGCTTTAATTTACTCATGGTTTGTTGCTAAGTGCCATCGGATCAGTCCTGATTCTTACGACCCTACAGTTTCCAAGACTGGTGGGCATGAACCACTGACCTTGCAGTTTATAGTCCAGTGTTTATCCTACAAAGCCACACCAGGACTTCAGTTTATTCCTGTTGTTGTTGCTAGGTGCCACGGAGTTGGTTCTAACTGATAGTGACCCTATGCACAACACAACAAAAACATTTCCCAGTCTTGGACCATCCTCACAATTGTCACACTTGAGCCCACGGCTGCTGCCACTGTGCCAATCCATCTCCCTCATTTTCGGTGACCCTCCACTTTACCAAGCATAATGTCCTTATCCAGGGACTGGTCCCTCTTGAGAATATATCTGAAGTATGAAAGATGAAGTCTCACCATCCTAGCTTCTAAGAAACATTCTGGCTGTACTTCATTCAACACAGATTTGTTTGTTCTTCTAGCAGCCCAGGATGGTACCTTTAATATTATCTTCTAACACCAAAACTCAAATTGCCTCAATTCTTCTACATTCTTCCCTATTCAATGGCCAACTTTCACATGCATATCAGGTAATTACAAGTACCATAACCTAGGACAGGCACAACTTATTCTTCAAACTGATAGCTTTGCTCTTGAACACTTTAAAGAGGTCTTATGCAACAGGTTTTTCTAACGCAATACACCATTTCTCTTGACTTCTGCTTCCATGAGGGTTCACAGTGGATCCAAGCAAAATGAAGTCTCTGAACAACATACATGCTTCCATTCTCTAACTACACCCACAGAATACAGTTGGTAAAAGCCTAAGAGCAAATCAACATAAAATCATTGGTTAAATACAAATACAACAACCCCACAATTCCCAGGAGATAACAATTTTAGCTCACATAAAGAAACATGAAGGATGACTCAAAACAACAGACCAACATGCAGAGCCAGAAAACATTTCTGAGGATGAAAACATATGGAACTATCTGTAAGAGAATTCAAAAGAAATGACATTTGAATTACAGGAACCTTCAAAGAATTGCCAAAGATTGAGGAAAATACAGAAAAAACTTCAGAGTAATTCAGGAAAACACCACAAAAACAAACAGACAAAATAAATGCAAAAACAATACAAACCCTGCAATTAGAAATTCAGAAGAGTAATACTAAGATATCAGAAATGTACAATACATTGAAAGGGCAAAGGAATAAATTTGAAGCAATGCAAGCCTGAATTTGTGAACTTTAAGAAATTTCTCTCAATAGTAGTATGATAGAGGAACAATCAGAAAAAAGAATGAAAAATCTGAAGAAAGCCTAAGAGTTAGTACGGACACCTTGAAGATGAACAACTTATGGGTGATCACAATTCCAGAACAGGAAGAGACAATAAACAGCACAAAGAAAGGTGACAAAGAGTTGTTAGAAGAAAACTCTTCCTTAACATCAAGAAATGTGAGAAGATAAGCATAAAAGATGCATGAACCTCAAATAGGATAGACCCCAGAATAAAATCACCAATGCATATCATAATCAAACTTTCTAAAATCAAACATAAGGATAGAATCCTGAGAGCAGCTCAGGAAAAGTGAAAAAAGTTATCTACAAAGGACAACCAATAAAACTAAGCTCTGATTTACCAGTTGAAAGCATGCAGGCAGTAAGGCAATGGGATGACACATATAAAACTCTAAAAGAAAAAACTGCCAACCAAAAATCATACACCAAGCAAAGTTATCCTTGTAACGTGATGGTGAAATTAGGACATTTCCTGATAAATAGAAATTAAACAAATTTGTTATGACCAGATCAACTTTACACAAAATTCTAAAGGATATTCTTTGAACTGAGAACCAAACAACAGCAGACAACAACCTGAGATTAACATACTTGACAACACCACCCAGAACTCAATTCATATATAGAAATATTTTAAGCAAAACAAACCTACAAGACTGAAAACAGTGAACTAGAGATATCAATGTACAGTGTAGTCAACAGGAAAAACCCAAAACAAAAATGTCAACATGACTGGCTACTAAAAGAATAAGCAAGCTGTTCGCTAGGAAGCAATCAAAGCAAGTAATCAAGTTCCTTCAGGACAAACTCCCCTCTAAGACTGGAGCTCAAAGGGAACACACAAACAGACATGTAAGCTTGCTGGAGACCACACTGGTCTACTGGTGTGTGGAAGAGGGAGGGGAAAAGGAAGCAATGAAGAAATGGGCTGAGTTCAACCAGAGTCCATTGACTCCTGTTAACCTGGAGATGAGAGAGAGAAGAGGAAGGGCTGGTTGGTCCAAAGTATGGTGAGACCTGAGGACACTTGAGCTAATGGACAAGGACATAGCCACAGAGAGCTAGACCTGGAGAGTGAAGCATCCAGTTGATATGATGTGAGGGGAGATGCACAAGAACACTCAAAACTTGCAGACAGTACTCATTTGACCTAGCCTCGATGGCTTGATAATCAGAACTTAACTAGAAGAAGATAAAAAAAATTGATAAAAGGAAATGAGGGTCCGTTGCTACAATTTGATGAACTTGACCTATACTTCTGGAGGTAGTAACTCTAAATAACCAACAGAGAGGGAAGAAGTCTTCTCATCAAGTATCACTGCTATCCCCTCTGTACACAGAGTAGATAGGGAAAGGCAACTTAGATATTGGCTACCTAAAATGAGGGGGCGATAAAGGCATGAAGTGACTGGCTTACAAGGTTTCAAGAGGGACTTTAGTTTAAGAGTGTGTGGGGCAAGACAGAGTCCCCACTGAATAGTTTTATCTTGTCTAGATGTTGTTAAGTGCTGTCGAGTTGATTGAGGCTATAAGTCTTTACGGCCTCATCTTTCTCCCACGGAACAGCTGGTAGTTTAGAACTGCTGACCTTGACATTTGCAACCCGATTCATAACCACTACGCTACCAGAGCTCCTCTATGGGTTGTCTAGATGGGTCTGATTAAAAGAAATGGGGTAAGATTCTTATGATTCAATAGTGAGTAATAGTTATGACTAATTGCAACTGTCACAATTGTAAAGGTAAAAGTTTTGTAACAAAAACGGGGGAGTATATTCAGTTAT